GATCATTTAAGTACTAAATAAAGGCAACTGGACTTGTTTGATGTTGAAGATGTATCACTTCACCTGCACCTACAAATGACAAATTGACATTTTTTTAAACTGAGTCAGTACTTTAAACAACATATTTATTTTTGAATAAATTTTATCTTTCACAATTAATCAATGCCATACATTCATCACACATTTACAGCATTCATCTTGTAGTAAAGCACTGCCATGAAATAAGAGCACAGCATTGCTGTCACTTACTGTGTGTTCACGAAACGGAAATTTTCATGTGTTATGTTGCCTTGGTGGAAATAATGGTTTGAGGTAAGAGTCTCCCCATTTGTTCTATTTCGTGCACCCTCATCCACTCTTCTTTGCTGTCTTCCTGGTGTTAAGCTGTTTTTAATCAAACTCATCACTTCCTGTATCTGTTTCACTTTATAACCTTCTCTAAGGGATTCAAACCCCTCAACTGTTGGAAGGCTTTTGTTGACTAAAACCTCACTTCCTAAAATAACAGCAGCTACAGTTGTTAGGCAAATGTAGTGGAATAAAAGGTACAATAAAGTCTTACCAAATTAAAAATACTTAAATCAAAAAGACGATGGGTGACTTTGTGGGGAGAAATGATTGGTGGTGCTTGTGATGTAAAGCATTTAGCTGGCTTTAGCAGGATGTGATCCTACTTCTTTTTTTTTCTCCCACCTTAAATAGCAGTATGTAAATCCTAATTCAATTTACTAATGGAAATTGAACCTCATATGACACAAAACATAGCTCTTTACGGAACATAGTTCAGAAATCTCACCAAAGCAGGAAGATTCATCTTTTGTGTCGCCCCTCTGTGTTCTGTACAGAGTTTAGATTTTAGAAGATACAGCTCCATCTTGTGGCAAAATACAGTCCCTACAGCCTGTGTGACCAATAATGAGTAAACACTTACAAGTTATCATCAGTAAGAAAATGGGGTACAAAGTGAAAGAAGACTCTTCTCCTGCTGTATTACTTAACTGATTTTCTCCTTTGGTTGTTTTTATTCTTTCTTTAAATGTGATCAAACCATAAACAAGGAACTGACTCTTTGTTCATTGTACACATTCGTTACATACATTTACATACTATACAATTGATGGGTGTGCCTCTGTATTTTGTAAACGACTCGAGTGTAAAGTTGTACAAGAATAACAGTGTAATTGCTTATTAAATCTAGCAGCTTTTGAGAAGCATGATGTTTTTTTTGGGCTGGGGGATGAGAGTTTTCATCAGGTCACAAGTTCTGCTTGGGGCTAGTAAGCAAATGTTAGCAATATGCTACACTAAGGTAGCAACTATAAGAAAATGATACCTGATAAACATCAGCATCTTAGCATTGTCACTGTTAGCATGCTAATATTTGCATTTAGCTAATATAACAAAGGTGACTAGTCACTACAAGTATTGTTAAATTAGTGACAAAATATTGCTGATAAAAATTATACAGCTTTATGTATTTCGTCCACTAAAAAATTCAAATGATAACCAGCTTGAAGTTTATTAATTGCAGGCACAGAAAAAGAATGACTAATAAACAGAAAGCTGTTATGTATCTTGCAGGGTTTTGATCAGCAAACCCCACAATGTCATGGTGGCATTTCTCTTTCAGCACAAAATATACAAATATAGATCTCAAAATGAGAGAAATGCCTTTATACAAACACAGTATATGACGACTTCAGCCTTTGACGGGGAAGAAGCTTCAAAATCAAACAGCAAGGAGAAGGGATGTCACTATCAGACAACCTGGTTCCGTAGAACTATCCTGTCCAATGGCCTTGATCCAGTGTATTTACCTGTGAGTCAACTTGTTCATAAAACATAGCGTAACCACATTTGCACTCATACAAATTAAAATTGGCTACTAAATCATCTTCTATAATATGTTGGTTGCAGTGAACACTACAAATGATTAAAGACAGTCATCAAAATCAGAATAAACAAGAATCTTGCAGATTATCACTGAAACATGTAAATACACTCAGCTAAGGTCACTGGAAGACATTTCCTTTTCCGCAACTCCGCTGCCATAATAATCCCAGAGACAAGATTCCTGATGCAGTAGTGCACTGTAACTCCATAGCAGTCGGTTTTTTACGTGTCATATCATAAATCTGCGTTCAGACACACAGTCAAATCTAATCTCTTCAAACATGTAAACCACAGCTGTGATTCATGAAAATGTCCATGATCATTACAATGGCAATGAAAAACCATTAAGGCATTTATAACACATCTGTACATCGCAAAGCAAGTAGGGACATACTTTCAAACAGCAGCTAACTATTTCCCTTAAACTCAAATATGGACAGGCTGGCTTTGAACTTAAAACACGAGGTACAATGGGGAAAAAAGAGCAAAAAAATGAGTATAGCTAGGAATGAAAAATACAAAGTGATTTGTATTTCTCTGTATCTCAAAGACAGGAAAAGGAACCAGAACAGGTCCTTGGGCAGAAATTATTTGGAAATGGGTATGGAGACATCTGTAATGGCACATAACATGTAGCAGCTGTTTACGGCAAAACTTCTATAAGAAGGAAGCACATGAGGGTAGAATGGCACGTTCAGCTCATTTAAAGGAAAAACAGCAGGAATGACGGTGTATTTAGTACCGACACCTGACGCCGCAGCTAAAAATCTACCAGAATTTGGCTTCAGGTCATTTCTCATACTCTCCCTACCTACACTGATTATTTGACTTTAATGTTCAGTATCAATATCCTGCAGTAAAAGAGGGAGAAATTCACAGATTTCAACAAAAATGAAATGGGTACATTCTTTAAGTCCAACAGTGTTTAGCAAAAGGTTACCAGTGTCATACCTTGGACAGACAGGCTTTACAAAAAGTCTTACACACTCAAGGTGACCAGGTTTAATCAAGTTCAATGTTTGTCAAGGCAGAAAGAGAAATATGAAGAAGAACTAGTATAGATCTCCACTGACGACTGAAGAATAGAGGTCTTTACTTTAACGTCCTGTCAAAGTTCCACAGCACAGATGTGATTTTCCACTGAAATAAACCAGCAGTCCAGATGTCTGCTGTGGCCAGTGTGCAGTCAGCAGTACTGCAGAGGCACCACTGAAGAGGAGGACTCTACAAACAATCAGTCTTCTCAAGTGACTCTCTTTCTAACATTTATTGGATATGCACATAGATTCTTCACTGCACTGAATAAAAATCAGAGCGCACAGGTGGATTCATTCAAATGACGAAAGGCTGCATGGAGAGGACAGGTAGGGTTTGATTTAAGGAAGAGGAGGTGAACAGAGTAAGAGGACTCACAGTCTCAGTTTCCATCCACGTATATGTTTTTAAAACTGATTAAATATGATGAAAAATCTTCCAAAACTTAACGAAAAAGTTCTTCATGTTTGTAAAAAGGGGTCAAAGTGTCACTGAAGAAGATTAGCACTCGAAACATACATGTTGAATAAATACTGACAAAGGTTTGGCATGACTGAACTGCTGCATGATTCACTGAGACTGCACAAGTGTTAATGGAATAGTTTGACATTTTTGGAAACTATGCTTATTTGTTGTTTGGCTAAGAGTCATCTCATATTGTAAATACATAAGGACTAGAGCCAGCGGCCTGTTAGCTTAGCTTAGCATGAAAACTGGAAACACAGCTTCCCTGGCTCTTTCTGAAGGCAACAAAGTCATCTTATCTGCACCTTTAATGCTCACTAGCTATCCCTGTTTCTAGCCTTTGTGCTAAGCTAACCTGAGCTGAATGGTTGGGTGTAGCCATATAATTTATGGATAGATACAATGGAAGGGTGGTATCAGTCTTCTCCTCTAACTCTCCGCCAGAAAGCAAATAATAATATTTCCCAAAATGTCGAACTTTTGGTTGGTTCAAAGTTGCATTTAGAAGGTAAGTCTGGTGATATTCTATAGTTCATATTATTGCGGAAAGATCCCAGTGTAAATACCAAAACCAACAATGTATTAATCCTCCTAACAAGTATTGTTTGTGTAGCTTGAAATAGTGTATACCTGCCACAGAACTCCATTTGATTAAAAACTCATCAATGAGTCACACTGTTGTAGGAGGCATATTCTTCACTGTCCTGCTGTCCCAAATACTCATTAGTGCACCAAATGTGTATTAGTCCACAGCTGAAAATAGTCCACCAACAAACGCGCTATTTACTCCTGTTTGAGTTATGGTTGAAAACTTCACTGCCCTGGCGTTTTAGAAAATTATTTAGCCTTTTAAAAAAGATGCAAGTATACACATAGGCAGGTGAAGTCGAAAGTTATTGACAGATGAACAAATGCATCACTGGTTTTGGCTTTTTCAAACAATAACAAAAATATAAAATATTACCAGCTTTATCCTTTATTACGACAGCCAATCATGACTGTCTAGAAATGTCATACAATAAAAATCATAACACCAGCTCACACATTAAAGTGGGGATAAGACGGAGCAGAGCATCATTAATCTGATAAATTCATATGTGATCACTCAATAGGCTTTAACGGTTCACAGTATATAGCGGTGTGTAATGGCTCTGGGTAACGACACAAAGGCTGCTTTGGCGAACACGTTGCCAATATTGTATTGGAACTAGTGGCCAGAATTTTGTGTGATTTCTCTGGAACAGACTCATGAGAAGTTTATGTTCGAACAGGTTAAACAGAGAAATCTGTTTGCATTTTATCCTGGGAGTCAACATGAGTCAAGAGATTTACAACACACACCATAAGCACTACCAATGCTGGTTTTAATAATCTTAGGAAAAGGCTGCATGTGCATAATTCTGTGCATACGCAGATTTTTAAGCATTCAGAGTGTTGAATGGACTTAATTATATTGTACTGGGTTTGATACTGTACCTCCTCCATGTGGCGGGCTAAGGTACGGGTCTGACCTCCGGATCTGGTGGGGACACATTTCAAGGACACTTTAGCAGAGCAGACATTGTCAACACCAGGTTGAGGCGATGGAGAGTATCTTCCTAAATTTTTCAGGATGGCGTCGTCTCCCTCCCCGAATCTCCTCCCTCCTCGCTACGGGTCCTGCTGAACCTGCAGAGCCTGCTCTTGCCCTCCCTCCTCCTCTCATCCCTGCTTCCTCTGTCCCTGCTTGGCACTTCCACAGTAAAGGGGCTGTCACTGTCCTCTGCTTTCATAGAAGAAGACAAGGGCTCAGTGGGTGAGGTCACCTCTGGAACCTGTGGGTGAGATTGGGTTGTTGTTGTCTGGGAGCTGCTGGGAAACACAGGGGGTGAGACAGGGGACAGGGGCCCTAGAGGGGAGTAACGTCTCAAGGAAACACCTTTAAGGTTGACAGCAAGCTCCAGAACTAGTTTCCTAGATGCCCGGGGGTGGCATAGAGACACAGAGGCTTCCTGGGGGATAGGAGGAAGTCCACTGTGGGCTGAAGAGTCACTCTGACCAGCAGTGGGAGGCTCAGACTGTGGAGCCCTGGTGCCTTCCCTGCTAACAGGTGATGGCTCCTCATCCTCTGGACTGTCCACTGACTGCGAGGAGAGGGGTGAGGCAGGGCTCTCTGGCGTGTAGGGCTGCAGATCCATAGTGGCTGAGCAGCTGGAGCCGCTACCCACTGTATCAACCTCATCCCCAAGCTGATCCCTGGCCCTGGCCTGAGGCCCCTGCTCCCCCACTGTTCGGTAGCTGTGGAGCCCCAGTGTGATCTGTGTGTGTCCAGGGGGATCCAACAGTGGGACGTGGCCTCTGGCTCTCCCTCCACTGTGGAACAAGCGACTCCACAGATGCCCGAGACGCCGTCGAGAGGAGGAAGAGGTGGAGCGCCGCGTTGAGTGACGTCTGATCTGTCTGCGCATCGCCAGCCGCAGGTTCTGTAACATGGAGGCCTGCAGGAGAGGGAGGGCAGAGGAAGACACAGAGAGGCTATAATTCTGTTTTCTATCTAACTGTCGAGCTCAGTTTACCAGATAAAGTGGCCACTTACCGTCCTATTCTTGCGAGCAGTAGTGTAAATGCAATTCAATTCACATCTATTTTTATCCTCCTGATTTCCTGTTTCCAGACAAAGCTGCAGTTTATGCCTGGTGGATCGATTTGAAGTTGATTCAGTGAAATCATTTGGAGGGCAGCAGTCTTCCTCAGGATGACTCCTGAGCTCCATCAAAGCTGTTGGTGCGTTTTGATTTTAAGTTCAAAGCTTTAAACTCAAAAGACCATTTCCTCTGGATAACCAAATTATTTTCTGTTGTGTAAGATTACAAGGATCCATTCTGCCACTCAAATGCAATCACATCTCATACTATGTGCAGCAGTAGCATTACAGCGCACTTTTTGGATCAGAAAGATAATCACACATGAGCACCAGTTTTATGATTTTTGAAGCAATACAATCACCAGAACTAAAAAGCTAACAAACTACACCACCGTTGCATGACTTCAGTGTCACCACTGCTAAACTTCCAACATAGAGTTTGACTTAGCTCTTACCTCTTCAACAAAAGCCTTTCCTCTTACAAAGTTAGTAATAGTTTACAATCGCGTGAGTATAAACACAACGAGGCTGTAAAGGTGGACTGGTGAGTAGTGTGTTTGACGTAATGACGTTTAACATCCCTGACAACATCTGTAGTCTCATTTAGCCGCTTGTTAGCAACCGGACTTTTTGAAGAGACATAAAAGCTTAAAGAATCACGACTGTGGTATTTACTGATGTATTTTATGTCATATAATAAAACGTGAAAATGTCTATTTGCTTGTGTTAACCACAGACCTTATTTCAGTCATCTAACTAAAAACCCATAGACTTCGTGACGAAGTGGAAGTGCTAAAATGCTAACTTATTTCCGGGTTTTAGGACTCATTTCTGCAGCACTGTATAGTTTGAGATTTTGGGAAATATGCTTGTTCGCTTTCATGCAGAGAGTTCTGCCCATTCAAAAACCAATTGTCACACCTGTATACTCAAATCCAGTTTCAGGAAAACACGTCCCTCAATGTGTAATTATGTGTGAACGCACTACCTGGGTGGGGCTGTATACCGGGAAATCCTCCACTGGAGGGATGAGACCCTGGGCGATCAGCTGACCATAAGAGGGCGGAGCCTCTCTCTGAACAAATTCTGCCTCCATGCGAGTCATCTGAGTCTCAAAGGCTCTACAGAGGGAGAGAGACAGAGAAGAACAAAGAGCAGACAGACAACAGGTCAGGAGGAAAGAAGTGTTGAGAGTTGGAGTTTGCCGTAAAGAAAACATCTTAGTGTGGAAAACGCTGTGGGTCATTTAGTCACTGGAGCATCTGCACCATCAACAGCAATAAGATGCAGTAATAGAGTGAGTGACAGTGTATCTTTGGGCTTCACTTGACCATTGATGACAAAACATTAAATAAATCAAAAGGAACTATAAAACCAAGTAAGAAATGATAGTAATAAATGCTGAATACAAAAAGACAGAGTTGTCGTGTCCCCACCTGTACTCTCTGCTCCTGAGTGAGTGGAGTTTGAGGGCACAGCCGAGGGCAATGACCAGGAGCAGACTACAGACCAGACTGCCAATCAGGGCTGCAGTAATGACCTTCCTGGGTACTGCAGCCAGGCAGTCCCTCTCGTCGCTCCCGTCCAGGCAGTCCTCCTGCCCGTCACACCGCCATGTCTCAAAGATACAGAGGTTAGTCCCACAGTGGAAGTTTCCAGGTTGGCAGTCATAGCAGTTCTTCTCGTCCGACCCATCCGGGCACCTCTTCTGGTTGTTGCAGCGCTCCGAGGCTGGGTAGCACACTCCGGTACCGCCCTCGCAGGGAAACTCCCCATCTGGGCATGTCGGGCAGGCCTCCTCGTCACGGCCAGACGGGCAGTGCCAGTAGCCGTCGCAGCGCTGCCGTTCAGAGTAGCAGCCCTGATCGCTGCCACAGGGGTGCTCGCCAGGAAAACAGTAACCTTTGACCTGGGAGGGTGGAAGAGAAATACGTCACGGTCTGGACACCAATAGGATGATTTACTCTGCTTGAATGATTGTGTTCTCTGCACCAACAGAATAGTTACTTTCTCTATCAACCAAACTATTCAGAAAAGAGTTGAATCCTTATGACACATGGGGAAAAAAACCTTCAGTGGGAGAAGGTAGATTTAAATCATAACTTTTGAAAAATAGATGGAGATGAATGAAAGGTTTCAAGCTTTCTCAAAACAAGATGCAGTAATCCCAGATTGCACTACCTGGTATGTGGCGTTAAAGCCATGTCCAGGGCTGTGAGGCTGGGCCATGTACAACACACTCATCTGTCCTCGGCTCGACTCCAGCAGCGCCAGGCGCCTGTTGTTATGATACGACAACACCTGTAAGAGATGCTCCGCCTGCTGCAGCAGGCCATCGTAAACATGCAGTGAATCTCCAGGCCCAAGCTGCAGGTCCAGCTGCAGCACAATGGGTTTCGGGTCCTGGGTGTCTAGCAGCCAGGAGCATCTCAACTTTGTCACAGCGCTGCGATTGGCCCGGAAAAAATCTGGGGAAGCAAAAGAGCCATAGAAGTTCCCCAGACGTTTGCCACATGTGGTGTCGGGGCAACCCAGCTCATCCGTCCCATCAGGGCAGTCCCGGGCTCCGTTGCAGCGCAGGGCGGCAGGCAGGCAGCGGGTGGACTGGACCTCGGTGCACGGCAGGGAGCCGAAGGGGCAGACGCCAGGCTGGGCCTCAGTGGGAGGGGGGGAGCAACTGCGTTCATCGGTGGCGTCGCCACATTCATCCTGACCGTTGCACTTCCAGGAGCGAGGAAGACACTTCCCATTCCCACACAGGAATTCATCTGACTGACAGCTGCTCTGACCCAGATGACCTGCACAGGAAAATAATTATCAGACTGGAACCACAGAAGAGAAAGAACTGACAAAAACTGACATTTACTGCAGTATAGTGCAACATCAAGCAGAATGTGTATATACACATACAGTTTGCCTATGCACGTGCACTTTATTAGCACTAGATCAGATGAAAAAGAATTAGCATGTCATTACAATCATAAATGCACATGCACTCACAACAGCTTAAAGAGGAAACCAGTCCAAAAATAATCATTTTATATAATAAAAATCAACGCTGCCTAATGTGTAGTAGTTAGTACTCTTCAGTTCAGTCTGGCAGCTAATCTCCACTTGTACATTTTAATACACTGTCTGAATTACTCTAAAGCCTGATCCAGTGTCCCAGACCTCAACTGTGTGATTTGCTGAGGCATACCGAAAGCCACAAGGAAATTCCTGAAAACATACAGACAATGCAGTTATTCACTCAAGTATTGTCCCAGAGTAGAGCCAAGACCCATCAATGTCTAGTGACAAGATAACATATTTCTATGCAATATAAGAGGAATATAAATACTGCTATAACGACGGGGTGTAATAAGGGCATTATGATTTAACTAGTGTGATAAATTAGTGCACGACTCACAGCTCTGGTATCTTTTGCTTCAACTTTACTGACAATTTCATTATTCATCCTTCAGATCATTTACATATTTTACCTTATAAAACTAGATAACCTCAGCATCCTCCCGCATCCAACTTACCTCTGATGTAAGAGAGGCGGAAGCCCTGGGCTTGCCCGGAGCTGTTGGCATGAGAGTGGAAGTAGAGCCAAACGCGCCCCCTGGTGGAGATGACGGGTGGAGGCAACATAGAGCCGCACAGCCTGGATTCCCCATTCCACGTAGGAGTCAGCAGGAGCCAGTCTCCCAAACAATTCCCCGACTCGGCCAAGTCAAAGTTTCGGAAACTAGAGCAGAGCATTGATCGTTTCAGGTGCTTTCTCAAAAACAAACGTCAGGTGCGTGTTAGTGTATGTGTGAGCGATTCTACCTGATGGTAATGACCTCCCCCTGACCTCCCTGGATGTGCCAGCTGCAGTTGACTCCAGCGGGGTAGTTTAAAGGCCAGGAGGGGCTGTAGATCACACCCCTCCGCTCTGTATGGACCTCCACCCGCTCACTGCAGCCTGCTGGGTAACAAAGAGACAGGGAGATGAGGTGAGGTGACTGACCTGGAGGAGGTATTATTATGTTACAGTGTTAGATCTTGATGAATAAACAGATGGCAAGAGACAAAATGAATAAATCTACTCCACAGAGTTTCATTCATCTAGTCATTGTGCTGCGATTGCACATCTAGTTAGTTAATCAGGTAGCAACTTCTCCTTAGCTTCACATGCACGCATTCATTATTCAAATGTACCGGTGCTCTTATTCAGCAGAAATCAAGATGAGAGAGAAGGCAGAATTTCAATGCGTTGATTAAAAGCTAAGACTGTCCATATTCTGTATTTTTTGCTTTTGTCAACAAATTCCATGAAAAGCCTGAAGCCAACAACGAGTTAGTCCATCTCTCAATACTTTCTGACTTTCCCAGCTTGTCTGGTGCACCCAAGCTCATTTGTTCCTGCTGAAGAAATGAATGTAAATATTCAAAAACTAACTTTTAAAAAAAATCTCAATAACTTACTATAACAGCCGGGTACCGTCGTTTTTGGCAAATGTTATTCAAACACGAGTAAATAGCGGTACTGGGAACTATTTTCAGCTGCGGATTATCACATATTTTTTGTGCTAGTGAGTATTTGTAGCAGCATGATGGTTTGGTGGGCTCATGGCAATGAAGGAATATGTCACCTAGTGCATCAGTCAAGTTCACTGATGTGTTATTAATATTATTTGAACAACAGTGGAGCTCTGACACAGGGAAATAAGGTATATCAAGCTCTAACTAGGGCTGAACAATGAATTGAAATATTATCAAAATCGCAATATGGCCACGTCGCAGGAGTTGAAGTTTTTTTGATAAAAGTAAAATGAGTCATAACAGACCATAAATTAATACCATAACCATTGCGGTGCTACAGAGATGCCCTGGCCTACAAATCATATTCTCCAGACATAAGAGAGCATCGATTTTTATCAGTGAAAAAAAAATGCAGAAACAATCATTCCAACTAAAATTGTAACTCATAACATAATCACAATATGATTTCTTTTTTGGATTGTTCAGCACTTGCTCTGGCTTCTCAGAAAATACTTGTTAAAAGGATTACTCCATTGTTGGTTTTGATCTTTTCAAAGGATTTATTGACAAAAAAGAAAAGAAATAGAGAATATCACTAGCACTTGTGAACATATCACATCAGTAGATCTATGAACTTTCTCCTACGTTTTATATATTCATGAGGAATCTTTGTCATCTTGAATTCTAAGGAGGGAAACTACACTACTTTTCACCAGAGAGATATCATCTGTTCCTTTATGTATGATGGACGAAGAGTTATGCATGCTCAGCAGGATCCATACTGCTACTCCCAGAACAGTACACACACACACACACACACACACACACACACACACACAACACACACACACACACACACACACACACACACACACACACACACACACGCGCGCACACACACACACACACACACACACACCACTCACTCTTTTTCTTTTATTAAAACATACATCCAGCACAGCCGCAGACTTTCTTATGGCCTTAGCCAGTAGCAGGAACTGTAATGCATAAAAGGACATCACCACATTCATTCTTCAAAATGTATATACTGCTTTATACAGTTCTCATCTTTTGTCTCTGATCACTGCTCAAAACAATCCCTCTGCAAGACAAATGACCTCAGTGCCTTTCAGAGGAGCTTTGTGCTGATCACATGGGGGCCAAAACAGGGCCAAGCAGCAGCAGCAGTCAAACTGGCAGCCAAGGCAACAGCATCACCTGCTGCCATCGCACCATGGCTCCAGGGAATAACACAGTGTGAGGTGGCCAAGAGGAGCACCAGGAATAGGACACAGGCCTGCGTGAAGCGCAGGCAAAGAATCCAATGGAAGGGATTTATTGTCTGTCTTGTGCTGAGAACAAGAATATAGAGCAATGAGTTCAATGTTTAATCATCTCATTACTGCTTAATGCCACAGTAGAAATGAGACACAGGCAAGAAGAAGCTGTCGAACAAGCCTCTTAATTAACCATAACCTTAGAGACAGAGCATTAGCTGAACTGCTTGACAGTGACTATCCAACGCTAACACGCAGCATGGAGTCAGCTCAGTTCTGCTGAGTGTGTGTGTTTGTTTCAAGCTTTCTTGATGAATCAGTGAAGTCAGCAGAGTGAAGCAGGGGGCGGGAAGAGGAATCATTTAGAGCTCAGTGATGGATATCGACTACCCAGACACAGCTAGCTCAGCGCGCGCACGCACATGCACGCACACATACACATACACACACACACACACACACACACACACACACACACACACACACACACACACATGAAACTAGACTGGACAAAGTAGTCTGTAAAGTAGAGCTGCAGTTTGCTGCAATGACGCTGAGTTTTTGATCACAGTTCAACAGCAGATGTTCTAAATTACATCTTTTATGATCATCAATAAATTAAAGTAACCATACGATATAGCAATTAGTGCAGTTTCGTTCACCTTCAAACTTAAAGTCAAAGAATAATGTGATGGTGGCAGGTCGGACAAATCTTCAGGATCTACTAAGAAATTAAATTCACTGGTTTTTAGTCTCATCTTTATGTTTACATGAGTTCCATTTATTTACGCTGCTGTATTTCATTTCTGCCAAACCGATGCACAAATTCAAATCATTTTAACTGTGACTTCATTTCCTGTCAAAATGTTTCGAGTCAGATAACAGCAACAGATATTCGAGGAGATCCACTGTACCGGTTCCTCTACCCACAGCAGCCTCAACAGAACAGAATGTACTGCAGCTACAACACATGTTGTGTTTTGAAGACGGAGTACAACTCTAATGTTTTACTTTAGTGAATACCCAGCTCCTTGCTCCTCTAATGTTCTCTTGTTGTTAACAGTATGTCAAACCAGAAACATAATGCAATTTGTTCAAATGCTAACAAGTCCATAGAAATGTTATAAGGTGTCACCTGCCAAAAGGGTCAGATTCCACCACAATGCATAATATTCTATAAGCTCATTTGGGTTTTTTTTTTTTACATCTAAAATCTTAAACTCAAAGTAACTATAGCTATTTACTGTAGCTGTTCAATAAACATGATGGAGTAAAATGTACATTTCCCTCTGAAATGTAGTAGAGTAGAGGAATAAAATAACACAAACTACAAAAAAATGAAGTATAAAGAACTTCAAAAGTGTATGGAAGTAGAGAATACTTTCCACCACTGACGTTGTGCAGAGTACCTGAGAGAAAAACATGTCGATTAAGCGTTTGGTTTTAGATTTCATTTTGCTGTATTACAATACTAAGCCCTGCAATTTTTCATTCTTGTTGTTTTCAAAAAACAAATCTGAATCCGCTGAAGCTCTGAAAGGGTGTTGAAAAAAATGACATAAAGAGATACTGGCCTCACTGTAATATTTTTTGTACTACCTCAGCTGGAAAAGTCTGAAGCTGATTAGAATGATGTGTGTGTGTGTGTGTGTGTGTGTGTGGGAGAGAGAGAGAGAGACTCTGTTCTTCAGAGTACTTTGTGTGCAAAGGTGCGAGGTCAAACAAGTACAGACATGCATTTGGGATAGTGTGTGTTTGTGCAAAAGCTGGTGGTTTTTCTCAGAAATCAGACAGACAGACACACACACACACACACACACACACACACAGTAACATATTGACCTGTCTATTGGTCTGACAGCCTTCTCCTTTATTTTCATGCCAATAGAGAGAGGGATATGATAATAGAGAGGAGGGGGTGGGGGTGACTGCCTGCTGCCTGCAGAGAAGCAGTGATGTAATGCTGATAGCAGCATCACATTTGTGAAAGAGCATCCATGTTTCCACACTAACCCTGATCATTTTCCCACCGCAGATCAATAGCCCCGCAGGTTCCTGTGCAATGATAGGCTCATCTTGTCACTCCATCCGATCACAACAATGAAAACATTTTTGTCTTCATCTGCCGTATCACTTTATCAAAGTGTCACAGGAGAAAGCAGCAGGCAAAACAACATCCACTAGGTCGGGTGTGAACATGAGATATTATAGCAGTGCTCTGCTGTGATGATCAGTGTTAGGAGCTTTGTAAACGACAGCACCTTCAGTGATGATGAGGAGGCAAACAACCACCAAGAAACATACAATCTGTTCAATGAATTCTCCTGGATGATCCGCATCACTTGCACACTACATTGTTCTCATTAGGATGAGCGGCCCAGATATGTGACAAGGATGTGTACAGACATCCATTTACACATCACAGCAGTGTGGATGCATTGTTTTTGCTCACCTGCACAGAGCACAGCAGAGCGGAACCACAGCAGTCCGAGCAGCAGCTCCGTCAGTCCCATGGTCCGGCGGGGACTTCTGCTATTATCTCGGGCACAGTCTCCACTGTTTGTTCGACATGTGTGTCCTCCAGGTAAACTCCCGCATCTACTTCCAGCACACACACACCGTGCACACCGAGGAATCCTCACTGTGAAAAAAAGCGTTTTGTCCTTTGCAGCGACAGCCAATACACAAGAGTAAAGGCAGCTAAAGCAAACCACACGATTTCCGGTTATTGTCTTCAAAATAAAAGCCACACTAAATCATTTTGAGCAACACCAAACGGTTACAAGTAATAATGCATCGAGGAAATACTTGTCGTAAACCCTTATTCAGGTGTTATTTCATAAACTTAACTTAGACAGTTTCACAAACACGATATGTACTTACGGAATGACTAATCTACAGATTTTTCAAAAGTATCCATTAAAACTTCCATCAGAGTGAATGTAATTTAAATTTCCTGACAGTGATCAACATAAAAAACGCCTGGTGTCAAAAAGAAAAAAGTCACTAAATTGTGATCTTATTTTACTTTGATTAGTTTCAAATTTCAGTCTGACACATTGATCCGTCTAAAAAAAATCCACGAACACCCCCATCTCTCCCTCTTTCTCCCTTTTTGTCAGGAAAAAAGAGTGAAGAAAAGGAGAAGAATTAAAAAAAAATATTAAAATGCAACAATTTCAAAAGTAGAATAAGGCATCAAAAACATAAGTGGATCAACATTAAAGGTAGATAGATAACAAGACAGATAGCCAGAAAAGGTGAGGAAATTGAACATGGAAATAAAATAGTATACATTAATGCAGAACAAGTGTGCGAACAAAACATTGTATAACAACAAAGCATTATTAATATACCAAAATTATTAAAAGATTTGGTCTTTTACAGCTTTATGTTATATAACAATCGTGCATACTGTAATGATGGTCTAAGGTGTGTTTTCACAGACTAAACAAAGTCCCATACGACTAAAACGTGTATTGCAGGTCTTATTTTGAAGACGAAACCGTCTGACTTCCGCTCTAACTGTGGTCCTTTTCTGTGTTCGGCATCTAACGAGACAAAGTGGTCCACATTATTCTTTGTTTATGGGTCACCTTTTCCACCTCACACAAGGACTGAATGGAACAAACAGCTGTGTAGAAACTGTAGGCACTACTCTGAATTATAGATTACGCCATAAACGGCGTTGTTGAAATGACGAGTTCATCGCAGATGCGGCTGCCTCAGAATTTTCTTCACCCAGTCCCTCCATTGTAGTCTGACGGCTTCTTGCTTCAGTCAACTGTTTCACTTTCGCCCTCATATGGTCAGATGGATGGACTGCAAATTGACACAGTAGGCTACATATACAGTACATTTACATTATATGTCTTTAGTTTCATTAAAACCACGGAACACGATTCTAGAAAAAATACAGTGTACTGTTTAACCTTTGATTTTACTTAAAAGGAAGATTAAATCACGAACTGATGGGACAGTGGAAAGACGCAGCGCAAAAAGGCACCGCTGGGATTCGAACCCAGGATCTCCTGTTTACTAGACAGGCGCTTTAACCAACTAAGCCACGGCGCCGGTGGTAGCAGGAGTCAAAAGAGGCGTTTATGAAGAACTGGGTTAAGGACCCACTTATACTCGTTTCACTGACGTCACTGTTCATTTACTTTTACTTTAGCTTTCGGATAACGTTTACGTTGCCTGACCAACGTTAGTTCTTTCGCTACGGACTTTTCAGGCATATTTCTAAACAGTGTTTGAAGACTCACATTGGTCGTAATATGGTGGGAACTTTGCAAGTTTGGCATTCACGTGAAACTAATTTCACACAATACGGGCAGGATAGGCCACGACTACAGGTGTAATCAAATAGTTACAATGTAGAGTTACGGATGCGGGCGGGGGGTAGTTTCTCTTGCGCTTTGGCATCTAGGTGTTTATGACTTAATCGCCTGGCAGTTTTGATTAAATATGTGATACGTTCATGCCACCCACTTTATATAAGTAAATACATACAGGGAGAAATTCCTAAAAATAAGGGCAATTCAGTCCCAACTTTAGGACTATTATGTTGTTGGTCAGAGAGTAATTCACAAAGTATTTTAGTGCTAAATTATAGGTCTGAAAGAATTAATGTGCCTCGTTATGTTAATGTTTTTCTAAATTCGTATTTTTGTACAGCATTTATTAAAAATGTAAATTAAAAAAAATACTTTTTAAATTAAATGTTTTATTACGGTAATTTGATTCAAGAATGTAATTTGAATAAATTGATTTAATTTAATGTAATAATTTATTATTATGTTAATCTAATATAATGCAATGCAGTTCCTTTTCATGCTCCTGTGTGTTGACAAATGTCAACCAGTCACTGTAGACAGTATCTCTTACATACAACGAAATACTTTGCACAAGCGTTCTTAGCTCTTAACAAATCTTTGCTCTGGACCTTAAGCGCTATGTAGAAGGACTGCTAATTGTAAGGCACTTGTAAATGTGGCCCCAAGGTCTCAAGCACTTGAAGGCCCTTTATTGAGCTTGAGTTGTGTTTCTTGACAGTCATGGTGGCATTGCTTGGATTCCTCCTGGCTCATATTTTGCAGTTTCCCCATTTTGCAATTTTTTGTGAAAAATTACTAGTTTAAATTAAATGTTGCAAATCAACCCTCAGCTCATTTAATGTTCATTTGCCTGAAAATTTGGTAAAATACAGTCAACAAAATTACCTGGACAATTAGACCAAACTACCTGCATGACACATAGAAACCCATTCACGCAATTGAGAAAAACATTTAATGCTTTTATTTTTTCAACAAATGCATATTTCAACTGTCATGTGCATGTAATGATTATCTCTCTCCAATACCTGACTCCAACAGTGTGGTTAGTCTGGACAGCTTTCCATTTACTCAGCTTGCACTGAGAATGGAGTGTGAGCTCATGTTTATGGGGTCTGACTGATGATGGAAACATTTTAGATTAGAAGATAGATCTAAAATGGGCATCATGCGGTTTGGGCAGGTGGTATTTGCCATCAACAGTTATCGAGAATAGTTGGCAATCAATTCTGACTGTATTTGTGGATTAGTTCTACTCACTGTTTCTGGAAAGGAACTGTTGAACTGTTTTTGTTTCCACTGTTGTGTTGTCAGGCTCTGACTGCCACAGAAATTCTGTGCATCCCTCTGGTGTTTGGGTGATGACAAAAAGTGTCAGCAACAAAGACTTCAAAAGCTATCTTGGCTAGATACAAACAGGGGTATTTCAGTCATTTTGTTTGATTATTAATGCCAATGAAGAAAAACAAGGAACCACACAAAGTGCATGATATTTCAACAATTTATTCAACAACTTCATAGACATTTTCTTAAGAAGTCTGCTGCTTTATTTGACTGATGTTTGATAGTGCGGGAACCAAAGCTTTTTACATGCAAATGGTCTCAGCACAGATACAGGCTATAGGTTTTTCTCATTTTCACCTGTCATTTTTCTTTTTTAAAAATCACACAGCTTTGAATACAGCAGCTGATGAAGCTTACCAACAACCAGTTCAATGATATACACAATAACCAATTTTCTGTTGGAATTAAAATATAAAGAGAGGAATAACACAAGTAAAAACCTACAAAGAAAATAAAGCTGTAAAAATCTGAAACAAATCCTATGTATGGCGCTGAGTGGATGAGTCCATGAATACACAAGTCCAAGGATCTGCACGTCACATTACTCAGCTGCTTTATCTGTGTATGCACATTAGTTAGTTTTTAAATTAATTATTGTAAATACTATGAAAACAAAATGCAAGTCACACACTCAGCAAACAAGAAACATTCCTTCCTTTGATCTGGAGTTCGCATTAGCAGATGGGAATGGACTTATACAGGGGTGACAGAGGAATAGAAGGTGGGGGGGTGGGGGGTTGGGGGGGTTCACCTTGAACACCAGATCATGGTCCTACAGGGCACAGTGTTCACTGGGGCAACCATTTGTTTTGATAAATCTTAAATACTTAATCTGACTTCTACCTGAAGTTACTGTTTGTCTGTTTCAGGCGCAGTGTAATAAGTTTTGGGCTGCCCCAGTGTGAGTTCCTCAGACAAAGTTCAAAATAATCCAAGCACACAGTCAATAACAATAATCAACAACTCCAGGTGCCATGATTCAATATATCTGATCTGTGTCTGAGGAACTACCAAGCCTTTTCAGCCTGACCTACCTCCTTGTTTACTCTGCAACTCATACATTTTCATCCAAAGTAGTACGTGGATCATATGTGTGTGTGAGACAGAGTATGAGATTACTGGTGGGCACACTGTACTCCCGGCCCATGGTGTCCGCTTTCTTCGTCGGAGCTGTCGTTGTAGGCCTCTCTGCGGTTACCTGATGACGAGCTCTGGCTGACGTCATAATCCTGCAGGTCCACCTCCTCTGTGTCTCCAGTGATGATGGGCGGCTCTGACCGTGAGGGCAGCATGTCCTCCAGCTCCTACACATGAGCAACATTCATCATAATGCAGCTTTAACAGACTGTCTCAGCGTGTTTTCTAACCGCAGTAGCGTCAGATGGTTGTGGGGCCAAGAGTGCAACAGCTTCAGGGAGAATGAGGAGTAGTACTGTGTGGATATAAGTGCTCAGTAAGTAACCCATTAATGGCCAGAACAGCTCTAATCCCTGAACAGAATTAATGGATAAATTTAGCAGCACATTCTTCCTTGTATTGGCCTAAGCTTTCTCATTAAAAACATACTGAGGAACATGTGAGTTTACTCGCTTGAGTTGATCTACACCAACAGTTACAGATTTTGATATGGTGCCAATAAATTGATGTTATAAGATGCCTAGAATATTTTTTTAATGATTTGAAATCCAACTGAATTTGAAACACACATTTAAAACGGTGTGCAGACGACATAGTAAATTATGTCCTTACCAAAAAGACACAAAATTCACAGTATGGCTCCAACTAATGATTCCTTTCAGGATTGTTTAATCTACAGCCTTTTTTCTCAAACAACAGATCAATAATTTTAGATCAATAAAAGAAGGAGTAACGTGTCATACCGCAAGTTTCTCAGGGCTGATCCAGTTGTTGTCGGGGAACTGAACATCAAACTTGACATACAAATCTCCCTTCTCAAAAGGGTTTCGGTACTGGGGCATGCCCTCTCCTCGCACCACCCTGACTGAGCCTGTAAAAGATGCAGTGTGTTAAAAAAAACAAAACAAACAAACAAAAAGAAAAAGAAAAATGAAAAGAAAAACAAAAGGTTTTTGCACAATTTATTTTTATGAAATTTCATACTTTTTATAGACACCTATTTAATTATGCTGCATACTGTATTATTACTAAATCCCATGAGCTGTATGGTGTATAGGTACCCTACCGCAGTAAGAGCTATGCGTCTAAGAGAAAGGTGTTTGGTAAGTTTTCCTAAGTCTTTCTAGAACTCACTGAGGATGTTGATGACCCCACTCGCTAGTACATTCTGAAAAGATGCCTCCTCACTGTGTTCAGCTCTGAGCAGAGACTCTAGTCTGAGCATATCCACATTAAGACAGTTGCATTTGTAAATGCAGGTTTTACTTTTTGTTTCAGCTCTCCGTCCAGATGAAAACAGCCTTTTTGTCTCCCCTCAGCCTCCATAGTGTGTAAACCTTAAAAACACTGGCTTCGTGTTTCAGTGTGAAAATGGAAAACGGAGATTTTACAAAAGGATGACCTAAGCCCCCCCCCCGGTGAAAGAAGTGAACCTTTGGTGGTGCCAATGTAGCTGAATACACAAAAAACTGTTATCATTGACTTGAGTTAATGCTGATTTTGTCAGATGCTACACGACTAAAAAATAAGGCTTTTATCACTGCAGCTGTTTTTCTGAAGTGTTTAAAATTTAGACAGCTTAATGCAGCATGTGATCATTTCATCTGTGTTTACAAGATGTGCCTGAATGTCAATAAGCATTTTTCCTCATCACACTAATGCAGCAGGAGTCTTACCTGGTTCAATGACTTTGCCAGCAGGGTACTTCACAACGATCTGTCTGCCGTCTAAGTGTTTCAGCATAAACTGGAAGCCGCACAGCGCCTCCACCAGCCCAATCTTATGGTTCATGAACAGGTCATTGCCATCTCGCCTGAATGTCTGAAAATTCAGAGGAAAGATGATTAAAAATCTTGGTAGATGAACCTTTTATGGACTTTGGAGTTGATATCAATTAGGGACAACTTGGTTCCTTGTGAATGTCTAAAACATTATCAGAGTACACAGCATCTGCTGGTGGAAAAGCAGCATTGCAAGAGCAAACTACAGAATTAAACATTATAGATTACATTTGTGCAAAAATCTCCAGAGATTTGGTGTCTGAATTTACTATTGTTTTGCAAGCGAAAACATTTGTTCAACTTCTCCTATATTACTGAATGCAATGCGAAACTACTCTTGCTCTTAACACAACAACTGGTGTTTATGGTTTAAGGTTTATGATATAATACACAGCTGATCCCTCTGCCTTATTCCCATGTATTATCATAGGAGTGGCAGATCAACATCTAGAGTACTGATTCTTTAGAGTCAACGCTATCTGTATTACTATTGCCAGCTGTAGTAAACTACTTTGCTTCCACCATCCACTGACACATTCTGACATCAATGATAAAAGCCTCCTGAGACAAAGTGCCAGGGGCATCACTACAGCTCAGACTGCTGTTCCAGTTCAGATAAAAATTAGTTTGCATTGTCAGAGGTAACCTGACTTGTACAACCTGCTGAGGAAACCCAATTAAGACCGGCTGGAGCAGCTACCTGTGACAATTAAGATTCAGCTGCTAGATGGTAAAAGCATAACAACAATAAAAACTATTGTGTAACCAGTAGTTCCAGCTCATCATTGCAGCAGCAGCAGCACCACCCAGAAATATCAGGCACTTGTGGGACTTTGTCTCACAAATTGTTTATAGATTACTGTCTCCACATCATGTTATTATTAACACAGAGGTGTGGTTCAGATCATTATCTTACTCAAGAACCAAGGAAAGCCCAATTACTGATGAAGGCACCTCTTAAGTATTTGTTGCCACAGATGTGATCTGGTTAGCAAGCTGACCTGGTTTCAACCGGTGAAAGAAAGCTTGGCTTTGAGTGCATGTTCCAAATCAGATTTAGTTAAGCCCAATGTGTTGATGTCCAGTGGTACACTAGAGCCTTTAGCTGGCTGGCGCTTATTTGACTGAAGTGCTGTGCTGTATGAGTGCAAAGTTAAAACACCATCCCAAATCATTTGTGTATGAGAGCGCCTCTGGTCCGACTACAGCATGAACATCTGTAAATTCTTATTCTTTATCAAATCAATAGAATTTCGCACTGATCTTCAGATTTGATTTGGATTCACAAAGTCAAGAACTGATTCATTTCAATGTGATTCCATTCGTTTCAAGTCTTGATGCTTCAGTTACATCTGATATATACCAATGTTCTGTAACACGCTCCTCAGAATGAATCCTGGGATCTTACATTTCTTCTTCTACATTCAACAAGTGAGAAATACTGTTGTGGTGTTAAAAATAAACTGTGTCAAGTACACATTGCAGGCCAAACTGGAAACACATTTCCTGACTATAAAACTGTGTTAATTTTCCTTGGCAAAAGCAAACATGATGTTTATTTTGTAAGGCCTACATGTGAAAAACAGTTTAGCAAGAACAGTAAAAAACCTGTACCACCAGAGCAGAGTAGTGTGCAGTCTTTATTCAGTGTGTCCTTCATGTAGATGTGATCTTTATATTGGCTACAAAACAGCCAGAATAACAGTGACTCATGTAGCTAATGTAACTATCATCTATGTTAATTTTGAACTTAAAATAACCTTTTGTGCATGTTGTAGTAACTATATTTCCACAAAACAGAAATGCCTCACATCATGAAGCCCTTACTGACTGTCTGACAACATGTAACCACTGTAAACACGTAACATTCAGAAAAGATGTACATGTTTACTTAGAAAAGGCGCAAATGCAAAGATCAATCTTGGGATTTTAAGAATCAATATTGGGTCATTCAAATAAAAATTGTGATGAATTGGATTTTTTTTTAATCTGTCCCATGTCTTCAATGCACAGCTCTGACTGCACAGCAATATCAAGACAACCTGGTCCTCATTGTTCAGACAGCTGGATATGACTGCTGACACAAACTGCTCATGTAACTCTGTAAACCTGACAGAAATTATAGAAGTCAATTTTCTAACCTGCACAAGGAAAATGTGACTCACAAAGAAACTGGTTACGCACATATATCACAGTGGAAAACCAGAATGCATTCATTGTATTCAACATATGGAAATAAGATATGCATGCCTTTAGGACTCAAAGAACAGCACACTGACTTGTGTAATATATCTTTGCAGAAAAGAAAAAAAAACAAACAAATGACACTAATCACTAATGATATACAGCAGTGCACTGGACTCACTGTTATCATTCCTTTAAAGATAGCAAATACAGAAACTATCTTCTTTCAAGGAAGGGTGGAGTCCAGCCAAAACGTAAGACTAAAGACAGGGAAACACAATGGACAGGTCACCTAACTGCTTCACTGCTGGAAACTCGCTTACCTGGGCACAGTAAGTGTGCAGACTGTGAAAACTCAAAAGGTTCTCCTCTGTCTGCTTCCCAATATGGAACAATACATCCAGAGAAATCCACCCTTCCTAATTGAGTTAATTTTTGTTCTGACATATGAGTATTTTGACAGTTTTCCACGTGTACATTTTCACAGTCAATCATACAAAATACCACAGCACTCCCAAAACTGCTACATTGGTGGTAGTGCTCAGGTAGGATATTATTATTATTATTAATATGAACACTGACTTGGCAATTAGACTCCAGCTATAAGTTGAATTTGTCTTTTGTTTTTTTGTCATTTTTCTAGGAGACACGATAAACCCCCTCCACTGATGTATAATAAACTCCACCCCTATACAGCTCATTGTACAGTATATGTATATGCTGCCACTTCTACACCCACATTCCTGTGGCTGATGTAGCAGGCACCAAAAAACACAAACGGATGTTCCAGATATGTGGTACATTTTATGCATAGGGAACTGTACAGGGAAACTGCAGCCCACAAAGCAATTCAAGCTCTAAAGAATCTAGCAATGGAAAGTTAAGGTCAGGTGAGGGAAGTTAGCTTAGGAGTAGGGTCACCTTTATATGACAAGAAAAAAATTAGTAACCGACAAATAAAGCTATGATACAAGCAAAACTGTGTCCTAAATTAAAAAAACAAAAACATTTCCCCCATGACACAGAGTGTACAGGGGATACAGCGGGGAGGGTAAGATGGATATAACTACTGCATTTGCAGACTGGCCCACCTACCTCATGCTCTTTTTCCTGCAGGACAAGGACTATATCCCCTGGCTCGATGCCAGGTGCCTGGTCAGCTTCACCTCCAAAGGTAATTTTCTGGCTATGCTTCATGCCTTTATCCACGTGTACCTCCAGAATCTTCACCTCCTTCACCACTTTCTTGCCTTCACATTTTTTACAGCGGTCTTTCTCACTGATAACTTCCCCTGGGGTTGGACAGAGAGCACAAAGTGAGGCAGACCTAATGATACACAGAAGAAATGCCTGATCATGGTCTGGATCAACATGCCCCTTACCTTCACCATTACAGTCAGTACACACAGACTGCATCTGTTGGACCATCCCTGGGGCGAGCTGTCTGATCATGATGCGCATGCCACGCCCCCTACATGTTGTACATTTTTGTACCGCACCCGTCTTGCCTCCCTGCCTGCATAGATACACACACCCACAGAGAGTTTAAACTGAGAACACGTAACAGGATTAACAAAACACCAACGATGCAATAGACTAAATAATAGACATAAGTGAGGACTACAGCACCATAATGGTTAAACAACTTACCCATTACAAGTGCTACACAGTACATTCTTGCTAAGTTGTAGTTTAGTTGTTTTGCCATTGTAAAGGTCCTCCAGTGACACCCTGTAGAAAAAGATGTTGTTGTGATGTTTACATAGTGTGAAGTGACACAAGACAGAGGATTTGGAGTACACTCAAGTAGTCTGTGCATTTATGTGCAAGCTTCCTCTTACTTGAGTGGATGGACCATGTCCTCTCCTCTCCTCCGACCTCCATTCCTGGAGCGACTCCCCTGGCCCATGAAGAGTCCACCACCAAAGAGTCCACCACCAAAGATGTGGGAAAAAATGTCGTCCATGCCTGGGCCACCCCCGCCTCCTTCCCGCAAGCCTTGCTCTCCATAGCGATCATAAAGCTCCTTCTTTTCAGGGTTGGTCAGCACCTCATAAGCAAAGCTGATTTCTTTGAACTATGTTTTGGGAGAAAATAAATAAAAACAAAAATTAACAAGATGCACTTAGTCAGAACAGTAGAACTGCAGAGCAAATTAAGGCACACACAAAACAGCAACCAATAACTTAACTGACCTAGTGATGCTACAAGCTAGAACAACAGAAGCCTCTGTAAGAGGACTGAAGTGGCTAACAAAAAATAATTTTCCATGTTAGGTTCATATGGGAACAATAATTATCAACCATATTCTGCGAAAGACACACAGGACCTAGTAAGATTTCAATTAGTCTTTTACCCCAGCTGTGGTGGGAACGAAAGCGACGACATTCTGGGCAAAGCATGCTTAAGCTCGCATGCACACAAACGATTCAAATGTTTTCCCCTATTACAAATAACCTCCGCCAGGCTCAATTCTCGAGTTGCCATTTCCTATTACTAACAATGTGGTCCCCTGTTGAGAAAATGGCACTCTGCCATGGGAAAAGATGGAAAAGAGGGCCTTAACATTTAATGTTTCCACTTATATTCCAGAAATGCTACTTTAGAAGCTGTTGACAATGTTATGTAGAGCGGAGGGAGGTCTGTGATGATACTGTAGGGGGAGCTCAGGAAATGCTGCACATTCATAAACAAAATAATGGCTCAAGCTAATATCAAGGCTTAGAAAGAAAAGTAAAACAAAAATGTAAAGTAATTTTAGAGAACTGTCAGCACTAAGGAAAATATAAAGAGAAAATATGCATGCAGGTTTCATATGCACCAAAAATAGTAGGCTTTTGGTCTTCACACTGTGGCTGTATTTATATATTTTTTACTGTAGCATGACCAAAATTGATTTTGTAAATGGCTATCTGACCACCGATCTCTTTAAACAGATTTTCTTGTCTTTTCCTTTACCATACTGGACTTTTAACAACCACCTAAAAATGGCTTAAGGAAAAAAAATCTGGTTCCAATCATTTTTGGTGAGGCAGCAAACCATTCAAGCTGACATTTGTTTTTGTTTTTTTTATTTTAGCTCCCATTTCCATTTAGAGAGAAACAGCACGACCCATCCAATATTTATTAAAAACACAGCTATGATGACAAATTTTTCAGTTTTAACCAGAGGGGATTGTCACTAACATCTTACCTTGTCACCAGCATTTGGGTTCTTGTCAGGGTGGTATTCTTTCGCCAGTTTCCGGTATGCCTAGAAGTAGACAAAAGATGACGCCTTGTTAAATAATATCATGTTAATTGTAGACATGCATCGTCGACTTGATTTACACACCGGCATGACTCAAACTCACATGAAGGAATCCTATCTAACGTTTGCGTAATCACATGTAACTCCCTGACGAAACCTAATGTTTCGCAGGCAAAACACTACCTGTAACTGCGTTTAGCTTTTACATAACGTGAAGTTTATCTTCAGTGGTCTCCTGTTAACTGATTAACCGTTTCCAAAGGGGACGACAGTTACTCATATACATGACACCCGGAATTACCCCTTTGTCAAAACCGGCAGTTCAAAATGTCTGACAATTTAATCGCTATGGTTTAAGTTAACGTGCGTATGTTGATTAGCATCTCTTGCTAACACGAGCCACACATGACGATCGATAACTGTTTACCCCAAAGTGTTGGCTAAACAGTCAAATTAAGTCAAGTAAGGGTCAGACAATAGAAATAGTTCGTTAAAAACTAGACAACAAAAACGTTTAACCTTAGAATTGTGTCTAAAAATGCGCACAATCAGATGGTTATAATGATACCTGTGTGTAGCCAGCTAGCTGATGCTAGCGAAGGATGATTTGACGATAACAATTTAACCCACCGCTAATCTTTCGCATTATATGATAAACTGGCTCGACGAATTTGGAAGTGAAAAACGTTTAGGCTCCACTGCAATGATGTTTGTAAAATATGACCCTATATAATGTCAAACGTTTACGTTAACTTAACGTTAAATTGGTGTACCGCTGAGCTGACGTTCAGTGAACGCTAATCCAAGTATCTGAAATCCAAAGGTTAAAACTCAAGTCGGCTTCATGTCATTAAATTGCTACGCTTTCCTCACAAATGTGTGTCAGTCAGCTAGCTGCTACGAGTTTCCAGCCTTTGGGACACACAAACTACCTTTTCCTTAACCTTCGACAGGCTTAGCTAGCTCCATGGCAAACACCTGAGCTAAAGCGAACGTGAAGTCAATCGTTAGTTACCTCAATCTCGCTTTCGGTTAACGTTACCCACGTTAACTGCAATGTTAAAGATAATAAAAAATACCGAGCTGACCGTAGCTAGACAATGAAAAATCACATGAACACCCATAATCGTTTAACGAGCTGCAGCGTCATATGAACATCCAGGCCACTTAGCTTACTGGTTTAGCAGGCTAGCCCAATTCACCGCTATCGTTAGCTAGCTGCGCATAGCAACGCATTTCCTGATCGTAGCTATTTTAACAGTTGGGAACTGTAAACAGACAATAGTACAATTCCACAATTTGTTCGGCCTTTCGTGTGGAATTACCTTCTTCAGTTCATTTTCAGTTGCGGATGGAGAGACTCCGAGAATGTCATATAGTTTTGTATCGACAACATTCGCCATGGTCTTGCTGTGGATGTTGCTTCAGCACGGTGGTGGATGGACAAAGAGAAAGAGCCGGTGGAAAATGTTTTGCTCGCCTCGTGTCTTAGTTTCCGGAAAGTTAGACAGTCTGTGGGTCCGCTGCTGCCTCCAGGTGCCGGTATGTTGCATAACCACTGATCTGATCTACAACCACTCAAATTACAGTTTATCAAAGAAATATGAAATTTTATGTAGCTTAATTGACTGCATAGTATATGGTGTAAATTAAATAGATTCAATCATATCGTCTTTACATAATTCTAATGACATCAGATAACCAGGCAACATTATCATTATATCAGGTAACGTTCACCTGCCTGCTTGGTTTTTGATTAGTTTAGTGCACTGTGCCTTTGATATGATTTGTGTGTGCTTATGTATTTTTATACAATGTTTTCGTTATGTACAATTGTGTCCCACTCTTTTTGTTTTATTATGAAATGCATGTCGTGTGTTTTTGTTTGATAGCTGCATCTAAATTATATTGAAATTGACTTATTGACTATCATACACCACAGATGATGTAACACTGATAACATGTATCTATATGGTAAGATGTTTATTCATATGTTATCTTGACTAGACTTATATTGCAGAGATTAGTTTTTTATTCAAACCTGTGGAAACACAATCATACATATTATACTGTAACTCTCATTACATCCTGTAGATTTACAACAAATTTACCACTGAGTTTTACTGAGTCTCCACATGAGTAAAAATTCAGTTTTTTCATTCATGAATTCAGGAACTCATAATAAGACAACTTTTAACTAGTCCTAACTTCAACTAAGGTTATTTTTAATTACAAAGATATATTCATTTGCATATAAAATATGATATTAGTTGTTACAGAGCAATTGTTATTATCTTAGGCTGATGTTCTGATTAGATAAAACTAAAACATACAATTATATTATTTTATACAACAGTTAGTCATTACATTTACGGTCGTTATCCATCTTAGATTGACAAACTTTGCAAGGATGAAATATATTTTACGAAAAAACATTTGAATTAAATTTTGTATGGTCGTCAGAAGAGGATGAAGGGAAGTGAAGAAGCCTGGATACTTCAGCGCACACCTGAGGTAACGTGTAGACAAAGTAGCAAGCTAATGTGCACTGTGCAGGTCATTTAGATGTTTATGTGTTGCTTAGCAACCGTCCAGTACCAGTGCAGTTGCGGAACTATTTGTGTTGGCGTTGCCAAATAAATGATGATGATAAACAAACAAATCATAATCTGTTTTTGCTTTTTTAACCAATATGGCGCTCGTAGAGCTATTGTATAAAAGCAATATCACACTCGAGGTCGTAATCTTGTATGAATATCAGCACGGCTGTGATTCGGTCATAGGACGAGGTTGCAGGCCGAGAAATAAAAGGTCAATGGTTTTCTATTTTAAAAGGTGTTGTGACAGATGTTATTTGATAAATATCCTTGTGTATCATTCTGATCAGTGGGGATGTATTTACAGTCAAGATACCATGTCCAGACAGCTGTTCAGCTCTTCATGTAGGTTTTTATCAGCAGATAAAAAGTGGTACCTGCCTGAAGGTGGATTTGCATTCAGTTCGTTCCTCTGACTGATGTTCGTATCTTCCCCCATGATGTTGGAGCGACCCATAGGGGATTATAGTAAAAACACACAGGAAGGATAATGTTTTAATTCTGAGTAAACCAGTGTCTTATTATGTACTTTGAAGCTAAACATGTGAACTGTAGACACCAATAATGACGTATTGTAGTTCTGTGAGTCATTTTTGAGTATGTGATGCATAACCCTCCATATTCAACTATTCATGTTAATTGTTGATGTAATAGTCAAGTCATGTCAGTTTTTATATAGCACCATATCACAACAGAAGTTATCTCAAGGCACTTTACAAAAAGAGGGGGTCTCGATTGTACTCTTTATAATATTAGTCATAGACCCAACAATTCCCACCATGAGCAAGCACTTGGCTATAGTGGCAAGGAAAAACTTCCTTTTAAGAGGGTAAAACCTCAAACAGAACCACACTCAGGGTGGGCAGCCATCTGCCTCGTCTGGTTAACAGTTATTCTAAGTGATTTCAGAGACTTTAATTTGTAAGATCTGCTTCTCAGCAAAGTCCAACTATTATCCCATCATAATATATTGATTATTATCATACATCTATGCTACCTTAAGACTCCCAAACTAAATCCATCTGTTTCACAGAGGACCAGGGCATAATGCATGTGACCATGAGTACCTGAATGTAACATATTTTAAAAGGATGCCGTAAGCATTACACGGGACAAATGCATCATGACAGCAAAGGAAAGGGTGAGTGGAATTTGCGTGTGTATGAGAGTCAGCGACAGACTTAAAAAATGCTGCAAAGATTCACTATTTTATATTTGACAGTCAAGAAGATCTGCACTATCCCATAATATTTAAAGATGTGATCATATTGCAGCTATTGGAATTAATCAGCCTGAAATTCTGTATATTCAACCATAAACTATATTTCAAGTTTTTAGAAAATAAATCATGCCAAAAACACTTTCTTTGTTAGTATCCATCACAGTGAAGCCAAACATCTTGTATAGACTGTTTCTTGTCACCCTGCATGTCACAATGTGTGTCTTACCTTAATGCAACATCTGTCTTGGATATAATGAAGAGAAAAGCTCACAGGGAGGTGAGTAAGCTCTCATTTAATTCAACAGAATGAAATTATACAACCATTGGTTAAAATAATAAATGAGTCCCATATAAGCTACATGTCTGTCTCTTTAGGGAAACAGGTTGTGCTTGTTTTAAACACTCAGTTCATGGATAAATTGAACAATTACATTTTCTCCTGGTAAGGGTGGGGTTTGGGAGCGGGATGGTTGCTATTTTTCGATTCAGTCCAGGCTTCACAACCAAAACATTTCGTACTCCACAAACGTTTACTTATTGCCTGAATGCCCATTTGCTATAAAGCTCACAGAGCAGAAATAGTCTTTTCTTCTCTATTCCTTACCAAAATAAGACAGTCTCTTCATGTGCTCTTCCTGAGGAGAGACTGAATGGAGCGTTCCCTCTGTGTATGTGTGAGGTAACCATGAAAAATACATACTTATTATTGTAAGATCACATTATTATCATTGCCATCACCATCACCATCATCATCATCATCATCATCATCATCATCATCATCATCATCATCATCATCATCATATTTCTGATCATCATCAACAGCAACTTCATCATCAACCTCATTATCATCAACACCACGTCATTGATAAGTCATCTTCATAAAATCATCTGAGCAACATTTGAAAAAGATTAAAGAGTTAAAAGCCAAGCATCATCATGAGGCTGGATATATACTGGATTTAACAGTACAGTACACTGACAAAAATAAAGACTCAAATAAATTATTAGAAGACGCACTATATATCATATATCTGTGCATGTCAGGTGAATAAATGTAAAAACTCAGTCTCTCCACCTTCCTCTCTCCCTATAATTGAGTGGGTTCCTGGTCTTTTAGGCAACCAAACAGAGAGAAGTCTGGATCTGCATGCGAGAACATTCTCCTGTAAGTCTCTGATGGAGGGAGAGCTTAAATGAGTAGGAGACTGGAGAAGAGACGTCTCCACGCTTCCTTCATTTGAAATCCTTTCTGAAGAATAGAACCACTGTTTTCCTCAGCTTCTCTCTTCTTCTGGTCCCTTATTTCTCATCTCCCTTTCTGCCCAAACCTCCACATGAGACTATGAGTGGAAAAGATCCTTAAGTGCTACCCACAATACTATTAACACTGCTTGGAGAGCAATGGTAGAAGAAGAAAAGGGAGTGATCAATTTAGGATTATTGTGCCTCTCCTGTCTTCTCTTCTTCCCTCTCTTGTCTGGATGAGTGAAATGCAAGGTCTGCCTGCATTCTCTTTCTGCTTGTCTTCCTCCCACCACCTAGAAGTCCATGGACATGGAGCGCTGTTGTGGATCAACTATGGTGGTACTGTTACGAGCGCTGTTGCCACGGATACTGAGGGTTCCGCAGGCTCCTGCCATCCCGCCGCCGATACCTCCTGCAATGCCACTAGGCCCTGCCATGGCCACTCCCGCCATACTCATTCCTCCAGGCATCGCCACTCCTCCTGTTATCCCCACTGGCCCTCCAATCCCTCCTCCTGCTATCCCTGATGCTCCGCCTACTGCCCCTCCACCTGTGGCTCCTCCTCCTGCTGCTCCTCCACCACGGCTATAGATCTCACACGGGATCTCCTCTGTGACGCGGTCCTCGATGACCTGCTGGTCGCAGTCGTGAGTCTGTGAGTGTTGCTTGTAGCCATAGCAGCTCTTCTTGTAGCTGGCTGTGGAGTTGAAAGTCTTCATGGGTGGTGGCTTGGAGAAGTCGTTGTGGTAGGATAGCTCCATAGAGCTCAGAGTGGTGCGGCTGTGCTTCATGCTGCCGCCACCAGTGGCCACTGAGGCTTGGGAGCCGCAGTGGTGCTCATGGACGCAGCGGGACATGGTGGAGGAGCGCCGCAGCTTGTGGAAGCTGTCAAGCTCCTCAGAGAGGTCAGCTAGGTCTGAGGATATCTCCTTGTCTCGCAGAGAGAACAGCTCGTAGTGAGGCGGATCAAAGACCTCTTGGAATCCAGCCTTGTTAAAAACACCAGGCCGGCGAGCTACTACCTGGAAAAGAAGAAGATCCATTCAGACCGTTAAACTTTAGTGATTAGGAGGCCGCTAGTTGTCATGCTGATATCAAGACAACAAACAGAAGAACCCTATTAAGATGTACAACTGTCAGAAAACACAATAAATGAGCAGCTTTAAGGTTCCTGTTTTCTCAACTGCTTGCTAAATGATTACTAGGGTCAACATTAATTTTTTCTAAAGTTAGAACAGTTTTGTTTGTGAGAGATTTCTGTATTCTTTTATTGTCTGTATTGTTCATGCTGGTTTTAAATAAGCAGGGCTCATAATTTGGCAATTTCTGAATAAAAATCAGATGGCAGTTTGTTGCAAATGTTGCTGTCAATCATATCTGATCAATACACCTAAGGATTGTTTCAAC